GCTAGTAGACCCGATATCATGTTTAGCGTTTGTTTATGCGCAAGGTATCAATCTTGTCCAAAAGAATCGCATTTAACGGCGGTGAAACGGATAATGAAGTATCTTGTTGGCACAATGAACGTTGGACTACGGTACCCCAAGGGGTCTCCGTGTCATCTTTTTGGCTATTCCGACTCGGACTTTTCCGGTTGTAGACTAGACCGTAAGAGTACGAGTGGGACTTGTCACTTGCTTGGTAGCTCTTTAGTCTCATGGTTTAGCAAGAAGCAAGTCAGTGTTGCGTTATCCACAACCGAAGCGGAATATGTTGCCGCCGGTAGTTGTTGTGCTCAAATCCTTTGGATGAAGCAACAACTTGTGGATTATGGTCTTAGTATCAATCACGTTCCTCTTCGATGTGATAATACTAGTGCCATAAGCTTGACGAAGAATCCGGTTCTTCACTCAAGGACGAAACATATTGACATTAGGCATCATTTCATCAGAGATCATGTTCTCAAAGGTGATGTCGAAATTGAGTTCGTTGAAACACACAACCAATTAGCCGACATTTTCACAAAACCTTTAGAGAAAGAGTCGTTCTTCCGCATTCGTAGTGAACTCGGAATCCTTGACTCCACGATGATCTAAATTGTGCATAAATTATTATTATTTTTTTGATCCCTACTAACTTGAACGTCGGAGATGTTCTTAATTCTTTTTTGCAGGGCTTCTTTTAAATTTTATTTTTCAGGTGTCAAAGGCAGGGGGAACATGTAAATCGATTCTTGCTTCAGACCTAAGTGATAATCGATTTACAGGCTTGTGATAATCGACTATCACAGCCTGCAGAAGTTTAGAGCACAAAAGCTGAAGGAGTAAACAATCGATTATCAACATTAAGATAATCAATTATCTGAGCCTTAAGGCAACTCAAGCGCAGACTTCAATAATCGATTTACCAAGACATGACAATCGACTATTGAAGACTGCAGGACCATCAGCGGAGAATCTGAAGACTCAGATAATCGATTTACACGTTTGGTAAATCGATTATCAACGACGATTTTTTCAAAAAATCTGACCGTTGCAGAGACGTTAGAGAGCAATTAATGTCTATTTGACCACCTCTACGAATCTCCAAAGCTTCCACTCTATAAATTGGTGATCTCTATTTATTTTATACTCACTCAAATCATATTTTCTCCATATATTCATCATAATCCATCATTCTTGCTCCTATTCTCCATTTTCTTTCAAAATTTCTGCAAATTTCTCCTCTTTTGTCTTGCTCTCCCTCTCTCTCTTTGTTGAAATGGCAGGAGGTCAAAGAAAAAGATCCCGCACCGGCAAGAACGTGGCTTCTTCCTCGGCTCCTCCACCATCAATGCACAAGTACCTTGACGGGTCGTTTCTTTGGTTCAACGACCGCGAAGAGGCTACAAGGTTCTCGGAGAAGTTTGAGCATCGGGAAATTCTCCCTCCCCGTTTCTCCACCGCCCATTTCATTCATGACTCCATTCCACGTGAAGCACGGGTTATCCTTGAACGTGGTAACTTCCTCGATCTCCTCTACATCAAGAAGGTTAATTATCAACCTTTTCTTGTTCGAGCTTTTTATTCGAACTTGAAAAAGGATGAGGACGGATCGTTGATTTCAAACGTCAACGGGGTGGACATTTATTTGAATGAAGAGAACATTCAAATCCTCACCGGGCTTCGTCGGGACGGACAGGATCTCGGGCTCTACACCGGAGAAGAGGGGGCGCGGTTCAATGAGACCGCTCTCTTGGAGGAAGTGGGCATCCGTCACTTCGTACCCACTCCCCAACAGCGGCGCCCTACGATTTCTTCCATGAGTCCCGTGTACCGCTTCATATTCTATGTGTTGACACGGATCCTCAAGCCAAGGAAGTTCAACCACACCAATCTCTCCCAAGAAGACACGAAGACGATCCATGCGATGATTCACAACGCCAATCTCAATTGGTGTAAATTTGTGATGACTCACATGTTCACGGCCACCTC